CCTGCATTAAAAATAGACATTTACCATAAATTATAGGTATCTTATATTATTAGATACATTATTATAAAACATGTTTTAGTTAAGGAATTATTGATATTTCAAGTGCAAAATGATGATATAAAACCTTGATAAAAATGCACTTTTAAGTACTAATCAAATAACATGCTATCTGTCTCATATATAAAGAAAAAAAAGATTCAAGCATGTGAGCCCAAACAAAATGGGACAAGCAACTTGGCCTAATTTGATAGGCCTAGTAGGGTTTAGTTTTTTTTTTTGTTTTTTTAAATTAAAACTTTTTTATAAATTTCTTCAAAATTATTTTTTTAGTTATATTTAAACTATTGCCCCTTATTTTTTTTATAAAGTTTATTTTAAATGATAATTATTTTCTTATTATTTTTTATACATTTTATTTGTGAAGAGATTTTTCTAATTTATTTATAGTTTTTTTAATCCTTTTTATAAATGAACTTTATTTTTTAAAATAAAAAATATTTATTTTCAGATAATATTTTTTATTATGTAGCCTTGAAAATTATTTTTTTTCATTTATTTTATTCAAGCAATTTAATGTGTGTGTCTATTTCTATTATCATTTGATTAAATACAAATTTATTTTAATTAGTAAATTTAGCAAACACAACTGGGTAAATTTCTTGTAAGATTAAATATCTTAATCTATATATATCTCTTAATTTTTCCTATTTTGTTTTTATTTATCATTGATGATTATTTATTTATTTATTAACATATATAGTTTTTTATTTATTTAATTACACGTATACATAAACTTTTTTTATTTTCACTTAGAATTTTTTTAACTATAAAAACATTTTGAAAAAACCTCTATATATAATTGTTTTTGTTTGAAAAACATATTTATTTAAAATGATTTTTAAATCTAATACTATTGTTTTGTACTGTCAAAAAGACAATACTATAAAACTATGTTATTGATATTTGTTAATAAACTAAATGCATCATATAATAAATAAATAAAATCAATGAATGTAATATTAATTATAAAAATAAAGATATTAAGTTATGATTCATTTAAAATACAAGGACTAAATTTACACCACATCCATTTAATAATTACCATTTAATAATTATAGTTAACATGTAATGAAAGACCTTGGCATTTCACTATAGTAATGAATCGTGAAATGCTTTGGTTTTTTACAATTTAGTCATTAAGCTTTTTTTTAATGCAATTTCATCCTTAGCGTTGGGTTTAATAAGCATTGAACTTTATAATTTGTTTCAATTTATTTTCTATAATGTTATTCTAATTTTATGGCACCTGTTTAATAAGTTAACAATTATTGACTTGACTTTATTTTTTTATTTTTTAATTGATTTTTTTTCTCAACTTCATTTTTTAAAATTGAATTAATTGAAAATTTGGTCATGGCACCGGTTTAATAGGTTCACAATTATTGGCTTGGCTTTCTTCTTTTTTTTTGTTTTTTAATTGATTTTTTTCTCAACTTCATCCTTTAAAATTAGGTTAATTGAAAATTTAGCCTCATATTTATTTTTTATTTTTATAGGGTTATCATAATCTCATAATCTAAATCATGACTTTTGCAGGTTAGCTTGTAAGGTGAACTGGGTTTTTTATGTTTTTTTATAATTGAATTTTTTTTAACGTTATCCTTCAATATTAGGTTGATTAGAAATTTATATTTATATTTTTTATTTTATTTTTTTCTATGTAATTATCTCAGTCTC